GCTCGGCCTCTGGCAGCATGTCCTCGGGGGAGGAGGACTTGGAGCAGTCCGATGTCCCTGGCTCCTTCTTGCCGCCTGCCTCCCGGGGGGCTTTGGCCTTGGGCTTCTCCGGCTCCTTCTTGAGTGGGGGTTTCTTGATGCTGCCGGCCTTGGCCAGGGGTTTGCGGGTCTCCGGGACTGGCGTTTTCCGGGCCGGGGTCTTGGCAGGAGCCTTGGCCTCTGCCTTGCTCTCCTTCGCGTCCTTCCGCAACGTCTCAGCCTTCACGTCCTTCTTCAGCACCTTCACCTCCTTCTTGGCCTCCCCCTTCGCCTCGGCCCCCTCATCCTTCTTCGGCGGCTTCTTCTCTTCTTTCCGGGGGACAGGCTCCTTCTTGGGCACTGTTTTCTCCTTGCTCACCTTCGGCTTTGCATCCACCTTCAGCTTCTCTATCGAAGAGTCCAGCTTGGCTCGAGCATCCTTGGCTTTCTCCTCTTCCGACCCCGCTCTAGCAGTCTCCCCCAGGGATTTTGGCTTCTCCTTGGTCCCTGCCTTCACCTCCTTCCTCTCCACCTTCAGAGCCTTCTCCTTCGACACTGGTGCCCCGGTGTCCACCAAGCTGAGCTTGGAAGACGACTTCAGGCTTTCCTTGCTCTCCGCCCTCCTCTGCTTGAGCGGCTTCTCAGGTTGGGACGGCAGTGGTCCCTTCAAATCATTCTTGGTGACCACGGGCTGCTTGAGGAACTCCAGGTGCTTCACCTTCTCCAACCCCTCCAGGATGCGGCCCTGGGGGGTGCAGCCGGGGAAGAGGACCCGGATGATCTTCTCGGAGGGGCTGACGGGGTGCCAGACGAGCAGGGCGCAGACGGAGGTCAGGCACTGCAAGGGCAAGTCCTGCTCCTTGGGGTAGCTGTTGCCTGACCATTGCTGCAGGAGAAACTCCAGCTCCTTGGTGCCTTTCACAGGGTTCAGGACGTACATGTCCAACCGGCCTACTCCCATCTTCTGGAAGAGGACGGTGGGCTCAGCACGGGGTCCGCTGTCCCGGGCCAGCGGGTTGGGACGGATGCCCAGCTTCTCCAGGTAGTGCAGGGTCAGGGCAGCCTCGTCGCAGCTCTTCAGCACCCGGGAGTTACCCTCAATGTCCTTCAGCTTCTCGGAGGCATTGAGGAAGACGACGCCCAGCTCCGGGGAGATGAGGTTCTTCGCCCAGTCCCCGTTGCCCTGCGAGCCCTGGGACGGATCCTCCTCCAGCTCGGCCAGCTTCCTTTGCAGCAGGCTGTTGACGCCAGGCAGGCTGTCTGTGCCCGCATGCGTCACCAGGATGGAGTCGATGCGGTCCAGGTGCCGGACCAGCTTCCAGAAGGATGACTTGGGGTTGGAGCCTCCGTTGACCAGGACGTTGAAGCCGTTGACGGCAAAGAAAGCCGAATCCCCTCTCCCGCCCGGGAAGATATAGCAGCAGGGCTTGGAGAGCTTGAGGAAGCCGACCATGGTGGGGGGCTCGAGGAGGTCAAAGGGGGACTGGGGCTCCAGCGACTCCGAGAGGTATTCCATGAACTCCTCCAGCCCCTCCATCTCCGGCAGGATGCAGCCCGGGTTGTAGCGCAGCTCGATGAAGTCCTGAAGGTTGTGATGATCCAAGCCCGAGTCCCTCCACTCCCCGAAGTCGGGGCAGCTGATGGTCAGCCTGGCCTTGGCCGAGGGGTCCGCGGAGCTCAGGATCTCCCCTACCTGCGAGGGGACGGGGACAGCCAGAGCTTCAGGCAGGATGAGGCGCTCAGGGCCAGAGATGCGGCAGCTCAGGCGTCGCCCTCCCTCCTCCCTCCAGCCCCCCCT